GGGGGGTCAAGTGAATGGGATCTACCGCCGCCTAGTGGGAATGGGCCAGTAGAGGCGGTGCATGCCGGGGATCTCGCGGGGATGACGGGGAGGGAGTGGGGGTAGGAAGTGGTTCATCTCTTCCATGGTCACCAGGAGCTCTTCGTATCGGATGATCCGGTGCAAGCGGGGGAAATGATCGCCACTGCGGGGGAGGGAAGCGAGGTAATTGCGATAGAAGGAGGAGAGGGTGCGGAAAAGCGCCGCTCGAAAGATCTCGAAGTGGCGACAGGCGGGGATTGTCCACGTGGCAACGCAGTAGACCTCTACTACGTTGCTTCGCTCCCATGCAGCGCTGAACAGCAGGAGATGCCAGCAGAATGTGGGAGCAGCGGACTGAAGGGAGGCGTGGGGCTGGACGGTGGCGAGTAAACGGGTAGAGTAGAAGTCATGGAAGAGATGGGGATGGAAAGGGTGGGAAGGGAAGGTGACAGGGGTACGGATCTGTTCGAGGGTGAGGAAATCAAGGGGCCGGCGGGACAGCGTCCGAGGACGAAGGCCTATCGCCCGCATCGGTACGTGGGCGAACCGGGGGACGGGTGGGGCTGGAGGAGGAGGGGGATCGGCGTCGTCTCCGTCGCGCGGTACTTGAGGTGGCGGCTGCAGGGCCGCCATCTTCGGGCCTCGGCGGCTCTGGCTCCCTGGTCAGATCACTACCGATGCGCAGGCTGGCTTCGCTAGCGGACTCCAGGTGGCGCTTTCCGGAGGCAATCTCTTCGCACTTTCACGCCGCTTCCGGATCTTCCGCCTTCATTCCCGTACGCATCGCTTCCTCCGGCGGGGCTTCCCTCTTGGACCCGGTTCCTTCTTCTTTCTCTTCCTCCTCACTCAGCTCGCCCTCGCTATGTTCACTATGGCTTCCCTCCTCCGATGTTTCCTCGTCGTTGTCTTCTTCTTCGTTGTCGTAGTCGTCGATCACCACTTCTTCTGCCCTCGGGTAGAAGGCGTAAGGGATGATCTCGTACGGCTTCAGATACTCCGCCGCGATGGTAGCGTATCCTCAACCCTAGGTTCCTCCAAGCACGAAGTCCACTGAAGGTACGGGTCCAAGGATCGCTCGAAAATGTACGGAGCAGGACTGTCGTCACTCTGAAAGTAGATGTCGGGCGAGAGATCGTCCGTTAATTGTACGATCGGTGCAATGAGCTCCTGTGCAATCAACTGACGGCGACCCGGTTGTACCGATCTGAAGAGGAATCCAATAAGATCTCCTTCCACATTAGTCCTCCAACCCTGTATGATCAGCAGCTCCGGATTCTCGATCCACGTGGGATGCTCAATAGTGCCCGTCCACTTTACTTGTACTCGGGCCAGACAGGAAGACAATTCCTTAAAAGTTTCGCGCCACAGTCGCCAATGTCCGGGATGGATAAGAGGGGCCGAAAGAGGCTCGAATGAGAAGGAGAGAGAAGGGTGAAGATCGGATTGCCAGAAGGTGGGGAAGAAAGAGGGAAAACCAAAGATAGAGAGAGGACCGAGAAGATTGGCGTGGTTCATTGGGGATGGGGGAAGGGGACAAGGGTTGGAATCACAACTGGCCGCTCACGCGGTGCTCGGCGAATGCCGTCAAGGTCTGATGCAGAGATCGGAATGATGTTATATCCTTCTCGATCGAGGACGTGCTGCCACACGTTGGAGACTTGCTCCGTCCACTCGCGCACCGAGGCCAAGATCGCGGTATGCCTCTGCGGGTTGACCGAGCTGATGTCACCGGTGAATCCCGCCGTTGTGGTGACGTGGCTCGTTCTGGGACCCGCTTGCCGATGAACTGCAGTAACCTCTGCGAACACTATCGTGTGAGGGCTTCCTTCTACCCGAAACGCAGCGGCGACACAGATACCTTCGTCGTAGAAGAATCGCATCAAATAGCGGAGATCTGTATTGAGCCGAGGGTAACAAACTTGTCGAATTTCTGAGATGTAGCCACGTGGCTGCCACAGTTGTAAGTCAAGAACCCGCTCCGTGATAAAACTCATGGTGAGGTTGGAGAGGAGGACGAGGGACAAGAGTGAGAAAGAGGAGAGAGGGTCAGATCGTCGTTGTTTTCCTCACTTTCCGAAGGAGAAGGGGGAGGAAGATCGGAAGGAGGAAGGAGACGGAGGTAGGAGGTATGCTGGACGATGGGGACGGAGCTATGACTGGCGCTAGCCTCAGGCGCAACGCGCACCGTGTTAGCGTCGTTGGGTCCGAGTTCGACAACGCGAAAACAGCCAGAGAACTTGGGAGCGAGTTTACGGTCGCGTGCACATTTACGTACCTGCACTAGGTCCCCCAATTTATATTGGTACTAGGGCCCAGCATTCCCGTTCCGAGCCTCATAGCTGCGGACCTGTCTACCGTGGGCCAGTTTGGTCATCCTTTGCCTTTTCCGGGCTAGCTTCGGAACGGCCCGTTCCATTAAGTCGGCGTACCTCTTGGCCTTGGCTTTGAGGGCTGCACGCGTGTCTCTACCCCCTGCTTCGGCAATTTCCGAGTTACCCCGGTAATCGACACAGGGGAGGCTATTAGTTCGAAGCTGAAAGGGGGTGAACCCCGTAGACTCGTGACAGGTGGCCCGGTGGATCCCGACGATCTGATATACGATTTCGGGCCAAGGACGTGTGTAGTGTGCCGCTAAGTTCCTGCGAAGGGCGGTTTTAATCATACGGTTGGCATTCTCGGCCAACCCGTTCGACTGGGACACGTGGGGTGCTGTATGTCGAAGCGTGATGCCCCTTCGCGCAAGTAGTTCTTCTACCTCACCTTTAAATTCAGATCCATTGTCGGTTAGAATTTCTTCCGTATCTAGATGGGTATAGAGGAACCGTTCGATGTACGTGGCTATTTTTGCGGCCTTTCGGGTCTTACAGGGATAGACTTCGATATACTTGGAAAAGTGGTCAATTAATACTAATAAAATAGAATATTCACAACGGTTTGGGCCAGGTGGCACGTCAATACCGGTCGTGTCCATACTGACTCGCTGGAAAGGACGCTCTACTTCCGTTGGTACGATCGTGTTTGGTCCCCGTATGGGTGCGCGATCAGCGGCACAGACCAGACAATTAGCGACAATGTATTTGACATCATCTTGTTTATTGGACCAGAACCATCGGTTCTGGTCTACAGTTGCCTCTGTGACTCGTATCGCGAAATGACCGGCCTGTTCCTCATGAGCAGATCGGATCCAATCATATCTCTGGAATGGATGAGGAACCGTCAACCACGAACCCGATCCGTCAGTTTTACGCTTTTCCAAATGACAGTTGATCCGCTGATAATCCCGAGATCTCTCGGTTGCCCTACGTCTGTCGTGTTTGGTGAGGTGACCCAATGATAACCCTGCTAACTTCGCCAATATCTCTGGAATGATAGCCCTACGATCTGTCCAGACCTCCGCTCGTCGGTATGTTTCGTCGTATTTAGGGTCGTCCGTACGGGCACAGGCCCCGTGCGCACGATTAACACACGTGGCACATTCTACCCAATCGACAAACCCTGTTTCGAAGGGATGACAGTCGACCCCATAAACCCATGCAATGCATGTGCAAAAATAACAGAATTTATCGGGGAGGGTGACAAAGAAAGCTGAGGAAGTAAGTGGGGCAGAATTAGTAGGAGAAGAAGGGGTTGTGAAGGCAGGCGGAGTAGTCATGATGACAGAGGGGAAGAGACGGGACTGAATTGTGGAGAGAGTAGAGCAGGCAAATTAGTCCTCGTGTCACTTACTGCTTGGACAAAATCTCCACTTGGTCGTACTGAGGTCCAATTTTCTGCTCGGGTTCGTTCCACGGGATCACCTCCTCACTTTTCAGAACTTTCTCAGGCTTGTGTAACCGTGTCAATCCATCCGCGTTCCCGTGTCTCTCGTGCTTCCGATGGCGGATGTCAAAGTCCATGCTCTGCAGCACCGTTGCCCATCGCCCAATCATGCCCGAGTAATCCTTCGATTTCTTCAGAGCCAACAGGGGCTCATGATCAGTCACCAGGGTGAACTTTCGCCCATACAGGTAAGCACGAAAGTGACTGATTCCCCAGAGAGCCGCATAGCATTCTCCCGTCGGAGCGGCGTAGTTGCGCTTGCAGGCGGGTACTGATTTGGACGCATACTCCACCACACTCTCGAGTCCTCTTGGTCCCACCTGGGCAAGGATCGTCGAAATCGCCTCTAGCTGCCAGTCGGTGATGAGAACAAAAGGCTTTTCGGTATCCGGTCTTATAAGGACCAGAGTCGAAATGAGAGCAGCCTTGAGCTTGGAAAACGCTCGATCACACTCGGGCGTCCAGATCAACGGCTGATCCTTGCGCAGGAGATTTGTGAGGGATCCCGCTATTGCCGCGAAGCCCTTGATGAATCTTCGGTAATACGATGCTAGGCCCAGAAAGGCGTGAATTTGTGTGATAGTGGTTGGCACGGGCGCGTCCCTGACAGCTGCCACCTTTTGCGGCTCCTGTTGGAGTCCCTTGTCTGTCACCACGTGCCCTAGGAAAGAAATGGTGGTGAGGAAAAACTGACACTTCTCAAGCGCCACCTTGAGACCCGAATCTCGTAACGCATGCATTGCCCATTCGATGTGTTGCACGTGTCCCTCATAAGAACTCGAATACACTAGGATGTCATCCATGTACACAATCACGCAGTAGTTGATGATGCTCTGTGCCAAACGAGTCTTCCGTACGAAATTCTGAAAGGCCATGTTCATGGCCCGCTGAAAAGTTGCAGGAGCATTGCAGATACCCATCGGACATCGAATCCATTGCCACATGCCTTCGAAAAGCACAAACGTTGTTTGCGGTCGATCTTCCTCTCGGAGAAGAAGATGAATGAACCCATGACGAACATCAAACTTGCTGAAAAATCGAGCACTCCCAATCGCATCCAATAACTCATCAATCTGGGGGAGGGGATACACATCTTTAATCGTGATATCATTCAACTTTCGATAATCAATGCAAATGTGAATCCCCCCAGCCTTCTTAGGTATGATCACTACAGGGAAGGACCATGGTCCTATAGCGGGTTCGATCCATCCATTAGCTTCGAACTCCTTAATCCGCTGAAAAGCGGCCACTCGTTGAGCTGACGAGTATCGATAGGGAGCGCAGCTAATGGGCGGATGATCTCCCGTGAGAATGGCATGTTCAATTACACTAGTTAACCCAATGTCATTGTCATGCACGCTCCGCACTTCTGCGCAACCATTCAATACACAGATTAGCAACTTCCGAAATTCCGCGGGAACGTGACTCGGGAGGGGGATCGTCGATTCCCCGGACATATTAAGGGGCATATTGATCCAGTCAACCGGCCGTTCCCGCCGCTCATGGACACTAGAGAAAACAGAACTACTGGTGCGAACAGAAAAGACAGTTGCTATCATCTGGGACTCAGCGGGGCTGATCATCTCCGTTTCTTTAGTTTCAGCGTCAGTCTCTGAACCAACCGAAGTCGGTTTCACAGTTAGTCCTGTTAGATCTGTCATTTCTTGCATTAGATTCGGCACATCACTTACCGGTGCTTCTGCTTCTTGTTTAATCAAGGTGATGGGGGCTCATGTCGTTAGTAATGATCGGGGTGGGAAAACAGAAATGTCCAAATACTGTTCCGTTTGCTGATAACGCGTTCGTAAGAAAAGAGCTCCCTCGTACAAGGTGCGAGGGGGTTCTTAATCATCAGCCAGATCGAAAACTTGTAATATGGGTTCCCCGAGGAGGAAAGAAGGACTGACCTGGGTTGTTAGAGGCGTGAATGTACTGTCTTCGGAATCCACGTGGAAGCTTCGAGCGATGTTGGGGCACACTCAAAATTTTTCGGGGGTTTCATGTTCGAAAAGTTCGACCAGATGCTTCCATTCCTCTTTACTGGGCATCTCTTCTTCGTATTCTCGTTCCCCGATTCCATCCCCGAGGTGCGAGGGGGAGCATTCCTCGGGATCAATGTATCAGATCATCCCTATTTGGAGCGAGTTAGGAACCCGTTTTATCGTTCGGGTGGAAACCCGCAAGGGAACAGTCCGAGGCTTTCCCCCAGTCTGTGTGAGCACCAATTGTTTCGAATCGAAATGCAGACGTGCGCCCACCGCCATTGCCCAAGGCAATCCCAACAATACAGAGTAGGAACGTACATCTATTACAAGTGCGTTAACAAGGACGTSTACTCGTYCYACTTTTACARCTACRTTCTCKATAACGYCTAYGATGTTCRTTACTTCCTCGTCGRCARAGACATAGTTGTCTTTGYCAGATTGAGGAASAATGGATCCAAGTCGTCCCGTCTTTTTAACAGTCTCCAATGATATGGCCACTGCAGAAGACCCTGTGTCGATTAGGGCATTAAACGGCTTACCCCAAACTTCACAGTCACATTCCGCGCTTTTCCATTATACCGGCCGAGCTCGTACAAAGTGGTCCTTTTCTGCTAAAGAGATCGCTGCTATAGTGCGGTTTCGGGTTCAGGTTCTTTTGTGTCTGGCTCGAGGGGTGCAACCTCCTCACCTTCTTCCTTCTTCTTCAACATCCGTTGTACGCACTGATAGGTGAAGCGCTTTTGATTTTTCTAACAATGTTGTAACAGTTTATCGTTCGCTGTTTCAGATATGGTGAGCAGATGTCACATTGGGATGGGCACACGAATGTCTAGTTGCTTGAGCGTTTTCAGTACATCAATATCCCCCGTCCGAAACTATGGTCCAGGATTGGACTCGCGATCGACCCATTCGAGATCATCTTGGGCCGATCGGATTGCTCCGATCATTCCGGCAAGATGGAGATACTTGAGGGGATCGACCACGTCAGCAGCGTCAGAGGAAGAGGCTCCTGAGGTCGACGTTATTATCGCCGAAGAGGAAGGCTGTTCTGGAGCGTATGCTACGGCCTCTCCTCCCTGGTCCGTGTCCATCAGAGCGGCCACTCGTCCTTGATTAAGTGCGACTGGGGCCGCAGCAGGGGGAGGCTGATTAAGTTTTGGCTGCGGACAGTCTCGGGCGAAATGCCCGGGCTGTTTGCAGTTGAAACACTCGATTTTTCCTGCCTGATTAGCTAGAAGGGAAAACTAAGGGGCGAATCCTGGAGCAGGTGGAGCAGGTAAGAGCGGAAACGATGCAGGGGTAGGTCGGGCCGGAGCCGGGTTAGGCTTAATGAGCCGGCTCATTATCTGCTCCATCCGTTCCATGTGAGCCGCCTGCATTTGGATCAGGTTACTCATCCATTCGGACTGCTTAGTAGTGGCCGTATGGATCATCTGGGCAAGATGCAAATTGGTTATGGCTGGCGAGGGGGGTTCGGATGGGGTTCCGCTTCTAACGGTTGCGATTGGTTGATTCACCGGGGGAGAGGGAGAAGAAGCAGCCGGGATATCAGAGACGATTCCGCTGGGAAGGTCATGATCGGGGCGGGGATAAAACCGTTCGACCGCCTGTAGCCAAGATCGTTTCTTGGCCGTTACATCCCGTATGGTATCTGTAATATCCTCGTCTCCCTGGCTGATATATTTTTTTGTATCAGCCAAGTCTAGCTCCAACGCTTTAGTGATGATAGCCGACAACTGGGTCGTTTTTGGTGGAACCTTTTTCTGCAGTTTCCCTTTCAAGGTCGGACTTCGAAGGTGATCAATAAACAAGTCTCGAGCGGAATTCTCGTCTCGCCCGGATTTATCCAATGTGGTTTGAAATCGATCAACGAAATCGGGTAACAGTTCCCCTGGTCCTTGGGGTCGATTTTTGAGCACGTACCAGGCGGCATCTTCACTAACCGTATCGAATCGAGCCAAGAATGCACGCTTAAAAGTTTCCCAATCTACCCATGTATGCTTTCTGAACCAGTCGTGCGAGGTATTGCGGAGTAGCAATGTCAGAACACGGGGAAAATCGGTTGCGCTATAGTCTTGAGCTTCGGCAGCTTCCCGCCAAGCCTCGGGATGGGTATGGTTGGGGAAGAAGGGGAAGGGGGCAGGGATGCTAACGATCACCCTTGTACCGTCCACCATTGGTATTGCTGGCACAGCCGCACTAGACTGAGACCTGGTTACGGGGCAATCTCGACGAGCTAGTTGAGGGTCTCTCCTACCTCTCGCCAGTTCGACTTGCTATCATCAGAACCGACACGTGTCGGCTCCGATACCAACCTCACGCCCTGTGTTGTCTTCCGTTCGGAGTGTTAGTCATGCGGAAAGAGGCCCAAAAAAACAGCAAGATGGGTTGTGCCAAGGATTTTTGGAAATTGAGTGTGGGGACACAGACGGAACTGAAATCCCCCGTGTTGGTCCGATGGAGCAAGTTGGTTAGTTTCGCGCGTCGCGGAATGCGCGCGCGGACGTGGCGCGAAAACAGAAAGACCCAAATTCAATCCAAAAAATACTATCGGGCTTCCCATCGAGCTACCGCCCGTCGTTTGGAGCAAAAAGGTTTTGGCACGCTTCGCGTGTCTTGTTTCCGTATCAAATCTCGTCGTCGCTCGTTGGTTAGTTCTGAGTCCGACGTGGATGGTGTCAGCCGTGTGGCTCTTTCTTTATGCTCGTCTTCACTTCGCACACGGTAGTGGAAACCCCTGGACTCGTAGTGCTCAAAACGCTGACATTCGGTGCACAGAATGCGCGGCCAGTGGGGTTCTACTGCCGTCCACGGAATGACGATCAACTCGTTAAATGGCAACAATACCGAGTAAGGTGGGAAGTGCGTATGGATAATAACAAAGCCCGCATCTACGAATCCAGAACAACGATTTTCGGGAGGGAAGTAAAACTGTCCGTCGATTCGTGCAACGGCTTCTCGTACGTCCCACTCGCATACACGTGTCTTTCCTCACTGTAAGGAAAAGGTCACGTTGGGATGGGAGATACGAGAGGTTGGCGCCCAATCGAAGGATGCTTGTCAGTCCACATATCCATTAATCACAAATATCCCGAGACGTCATTAAAAACAGAAATCATTCACGCAACACTCAATCAATCCTTCTTGACATGAGAGAGAGAGAGAGAGAGAGAGAGAGAGAGAGAGAGAGAGAGAGAGAGAGAGAGAGAGAGAGCAAACACAAATCAGCTTGATCACGCATATGGATACGGGTTCGATCAGCCCAACACAACGTTGGTCCCTGGGCGCCTTGTTTCTCAGGGCCGCCTCGTGACTCGGCTGCCGATGTCGTGCATCATAAGGCAGATGGCATGCGCAGTGTAAACAGAGCTACGGATCTAAACACTGTTGCATTCTCGAATAAAATCCCGACGACAATCGTCTATTCAACAGAAGAGTCATTCATTCCCTACATGCATTCACTGTGGAAGGTGCAAAAATGAGACATGCACAGGAAAAGATGGATCGCCTCACTCAGTACACAGGCATCCACCGTTCACAAGACAAGAAAACAGGGTCCTTGCGTAGGAGGATTACCCAGGAAACTAATGGAAGAGTTCCGGAAGAAGTTCCTTCACACAGAATGCCGACTCATTTCCATTCAAGAGCGGGACAATCATTCAGACGCATCATCATTCAAGAGGAGAGAGAGAGAGCGGGAGAGAGAGTCAAATAGAAGATGACAAGGTCCGAAAAGAGAAAAGTTCGGCGTCGCCGCCTTACACTCACGCCAAGGGTAACAATCCGCAACTAAGGCGCATTCGCCAGTAATTCCACTATGGCCCCGGGCCATTCACTCACTCAACTCCAATCATCAACCCTCGTATCCGCACCGACAATCCCGACCGTCGCATGCTAACTCCCACCACTGCGATCGTCACCCCGCTGTCGTAAACTCGACACGGTTCTCCTGGATCCCACAGTCCTTCGTGGCGATCAAGCGCGCAACCGGCCAGCCTATCGTCAGCCCGACAGGACTTTCCGACTCGCCTAGCCACTGCTTCCGGAAGCTGGCTTAGGAATTGAGAACGTAAGAGAGATTTGCGGGCGCGCTAGCGGGTTTATAGTTGCGAGAAAGGAGATAGAAGGGAGAGGCAACGACGGGAAGGCGGGTGTGTAGGAGGAGAAGGAGGAGAAGACTTTGAGAAGAGCGCTCCGAGAACGCCATGTTGATCCCTCGGAACTCAAGGTTCAACCAATCAGATCCGTCGCGCGTTAGGTAGGTCCTATCGATCCACGCACCTGATTGGCGAGCGGGAGTTATCGGAGGATCGATTAGGCGTCGTACGCCAGGCTCAGAGGGTGAGAAGAGAAAAGGCACGAGAGGTGGCGCAAGACGGATCCAAGATTCAGATGATCAAGAAAGGGAAATGGGCGTGCGAAAGCAAGGCGGGAGAGAAAGAGGGAGAAGGAAAAACAGTTACGGGGAGAGAAAAAGGAGGGAGAAGGGAAGGGAAGCGCGGGAGGGAGCGATGCGGGGGACAAAGAGGAAGGGAAGCGCGGGAGGGAAGGGAAGGGAAGCGCGGGAGGGAAGCTTTTGCATGCACGGCGCCGTCAACAAAAAAAAAAAAGGCACCGAAACAGTTACAGCTTGCTTCTATCCCAATTCAAAAATTGAAGTCAC